TAATTCTCGCTACCCCAAATAGCGATTCTGCCGAGATCCGGGGAAAATCCTGAAAACGTGCAATGCATTATGGGATAGCTTTTCGACATTACAGCTTCCTGTGCAGGCGGCGCGATAGCGCAAACTTAAAACGCCGTCGCCACACAACGTGTATGCACCGAATATGTCGTCTGCTCGGTCTTGTTTTTTTTTCGCAAATATTTCAACGTTTATTTGAACATTTCATTCGTTGTTTTTTGCGTCTTTTGACATCAGTGACGATGGTTTTCTTTTGTGAGGCTGCACAGTGCTGGGCTCATGATTCCAAGCGTAAGAACCCTGAAAAATGGGGGTGGATGAAGGCCGTGACTTGGGATGGGACTCTATACCGGAAGTTGTAGTGACGACCCGAGAGAGTGAAAATTACCTCGTCTCGCGAATTTCGAGATTTTCGTACCTATTTAGGGTAGCGAGAATTGTTCACGATGATTGACCTCAAAACATATTCGCAGGTTCTTAAACTCGCGTTGCACGCAATTCAGACCGTTCAAAACACACATAAGCAGTCATGCTTATATTTTCGTGAGTTCTAAAATTTGCTCTTACTGATCTTAGTGCGAAATCCGCGAAAATTAATGTACCGCAAATATATCTACTTTTACCAGCATATGTGTATATACATATACATATTGACATGCGAAAAACATGTGCAAGACCAAGACAAAAATTTTTTTCCAGATACTGAACAATAGATACCATTAAATTCAATATTTTTCTTAAAGCCCCCCCCCCCCCCAAGTGTTGGGAGCCCAAGTAAATTATGCTTGAATTGTTTCATAAAAGGATGTCATTTAAGACACATTTCTGTAAGGATTTTCAAAACAAATGTGTTTGAAGTCAAATATTGATGAATGAATACAAAACTTAGGGTTTCTGCGTACAACACAAAACCAAAATTATGTATTCTTTTAACAATATTTGTCTTCAAGCACATTTTTTGAGGGGAAATCTTTGCAGCGGTGTGTCTTAAATGACATCCTCTTTCACATTATGATACAATTTATCTGAAATTTTCCCATCTAATTTTTTGCAAATTTGGGGCTCCCAACAGTGGGGCTTTAAGAACAAACCTTGCATCATTCAAGACTGAAAGCATACATAAACATATTACATTCAGATGATAAAAGACTTTGCATAGTATGTCACGCTATCCAGAAAATGGTGATGCCCATGACGTGCTGAGAAACTTTACAGTGTGCTTTTAAGTTTATACCTCTTTCATACACTCTGGTGGAAAAGTCTTGTAGATTAATGGGCAAGAATTAAATAATTCTCCTTTTTTTTAGGGGCGGGGGGTGAGGTTTCCTTTTAACATCTCCTGGTGCTCAGTAAATAAGTTATTCAAACACAGAAATGCTCCCAGAGTCAGACACACAAAAATACATGCTAGAAAACACACAAGATAACTGAACAAATCCAGATCTATTCATCTCTGATCAAGGCACTCAGATAACTCAAAATGAGACTTTCAACCGATTTTCTTTGAAATATTTTAACCGACTTGTCCATGCTGTACACAGTAAATGGAGAGAGAGCCCAAGGTGAAAAGTTATTAAAATATCCAAAAAGACACATAAATCACGTATGCCACTTCTTAAATTTAAGAAAGAAAAAGTATCAAAATTACCATAGAAGAAAATATGTGTGATAAAGTTCACCGATATTTTGCACACAGTTAACAGCATCATCAAAAATCATACACATTCATTCAAAACAACTTAACAAAAAGGTTTATTGCAAAAAGTGTGATAGCAATCAGAGTTGCTGAATCACATCAGCGATATAAAACAATAGGAGAGAAATATATTACAAAATTTTGAATTAAAACAGTGAAGATGAAGAAAACGTTTACTGCAATAAGACCAAATGGCTTAAGACCAAATGGTTCTAGTGTACAGTATGTATCAACTGATTGGCTCCAAACTTATTATTCATGATCTCACTTTCTTGTGACCTTCAAACCACATACATAAAGTACAGATAAATGAAAGAGAACCGATCGATAAAATAGTGCCTTTAGAAAACTGTCCACGCTTCTTTCCTGATGTTTCTCCCCTGAGCAAAGGTTTAAAGTAGGTTTGCATGATCCCATTAGCATTAGAGTTCAAAGACTTTAGGTAAAATACATAAGAGTTGATATCGTAGTTGAATATTTGAGAATGAACATCTGCAAAAGTAGTAGTAATAGTATTAGAGTATTAGTCACCAGGGAGATACCATAATCAAGACATATATCAGTAATATAGGCTGAATTATCATGATTCTGATTGTTAATGCTCACAGCGAACTTCTGCTAATGAGAGGAAAAATTACAAAGAAGAGTCTACAGCAGGATGGGGATATAGTGTTGTATGATTCTAATCGTGTGCTATTAAAAATCATGTCTGCTGTCCACATGGCACGAGATGTCATGACTTGTTATGAAACACTAAGGCTCGTTCGCCTAATATCTGAACGAGGCCTTAGATAGTAACATGATATCTCACTTAGCCATCAAAGCTCCGCAAGATATGATACAACATGCCAAAATATCTGACTATTTGGACTGCAAACACGATTCAAATCATACGTGAGAATGAAAAAGAAAGACACACAGAGCGAGTTTAGAGCTTGTATATTTTATCATTTGTCAGTGGTAGCCATATGCTAGCGAGAGCCAGCAGAACAGAGCTTTGAGAAGAGAACCCTAGTCCGTCGGTCACCACTTACCCGCCGTCCAAGCCTTCTGTTGTGCAAGTTTAGGCCAATCCTGCCCAGCAACAATCCGCAGGAGATCAGGACAACAATAGCCATGAACACCAGGGATATTCCAAAGAGGATCACAAAAATGTGCGAACCCTCAATGTCTCGTTGATCATCTTCCCATGGTGGACCTGGTGACACACAGTCTTTTGTTTCTAGGCAGAGCTATCAAAAGTACATTTAGGATTAGCGAAATGGGTCTTAGAAATGTTAGAAAGGGAAGGAAGGGTGCAGGACTAACAGGTCACAGAAGTGAGGGGAATATATAGTTTGGAGATACTTCTAGTTTGGAGAAACTTACAGGAATTCAATATGCCTTTGGTCAGATCAGCAAGCATTTCTTGTTTACTTGAAGCACTAACAGTTCCTTTTCTTTTAAAAGTGAACAAATAAAAGCACATCCTACCTCCACTTGGGAACAGACTAAAGCATAACCACCAGGACTAACAGAGGACAACAAATTATTCCATGCTCTTGCTAAACTTCAACGTCCAAAAGTGGTTCCTCCTTGGAACAAGAACCTTAATGTTATTAGAGACATATTTGTAGTTTTTTAAGTAGCTCTAGAGAAAGATGGAATTATCTCAATATCAATATTAGGAGGGCTCAGAGCCTCAGACTGAACAAATTTTATTTGGTAAAGTGAATGTGATATGTCTTTGAACCTGATCATCAAGAGTTGTCAGGTGGCCATGTTTGGCCATGCAAAGAACAACCTACAACAGGAAACACTCTGCAGAACAACCAAACCACAACAAACCATATTACATGGGTCCATAAAACCAAAGGAGACCACAGAAATGTGTGCCACCTCACTGATCTAACTGTTTTGAGAGAACTTCCAGACCTTTCATAAAAAGCCGAGTATTCTGGAGACCCACCTTGATGTTGTCCAACTAAGCCAGTATAAAAAAGAAGGACGATTCCAATGTCAGACTCAAGACTCAAGGGAAAATGGTTCCAGAACTCTGCTCTTTATCAACCCACTGACGATTTCATTTTTCATTCGACTAGAATTTCTAATGGATCTATTCTACAGCTGTCTAGGGCTTGTACTTGATAGTTTCAGGACAGTTTACAGGAAATTTCCAGCTTGCAATATCAAAAAGAAGACACTAGAAGAATATACGTGTATGAGAGCATCTGATCTCACCCAGGCAGATATTGCAGATCAGGGACCCGTTTCACAAAGTATTTTTTCAATGACAAATGACAAAAATCAATGACAAATCTGCTGATAAACAATCAGGAACAAGGATTTCAGTAGCTTATAAAAAAAACTGTCATTTGTCACTGATGACAAGTTTTGTGAAAGCCCCCCAGAAGGCTTGGAGAAGGGCAACAAGGGAAATGAAACATCCAACTCTGCAGCATGGGAAAATACGAAAGCTAAATGATGATGATGAGTTTACAGGAGATAAAAATAATAATCAAAAGGACCAGGCCGTATGTACTACAGTGTAGTTTGGCTAGGAGGGATTAGACCACCCAGGAAGGTCACCTACAGGTGGCTATCTCATCAACTCAGCTCTCAGTAAAAATAAGGAAAAAAAAGATCATGGGGAACTAATGGTCACCGATTAGGCATTGTTTTCTATATAGAGGGAGCAAGTAGCTACAAGTAGTACAGTGGGCCTTTTATAGTTGGCAATTAACCAAACAGTTTTCAAGAATACCTTGTAAAGTAATTAGGATGATACAAAATGTTGAATCAACGGAAGCGATCAAAATGTGAAGAAATTGCAGAGTTTGATATCAATCACAATTCTTGGCATTCGAAATATTGTAGCTGCAATTGATTTAATGACTTTATGTGAATCAAGATCGGTTGTAACCCTTCATAAGGATAGGGCACAGGTAGTACATATGGTATAATAGTATAATATAAATGGGGGAACAGTTGGTCAACCTGACAATGTTTAATAATTTGGCATAAAATATATCAACCAGCATGTCCATAGCAGGTTATTACTTATGATTTTAAGGTATAAAGTGCAATACCACAAAGAACCCGTTAAGACGATTAGAAAAATGAGAGGAGGAGAGAGAGACCTGGAGAAAGGTATAAAGGGGGAAAGAAGGAGAGAGACTGCGAGGAAGAGAAACAGTTTGACACACGATGTATTCAGAGCATTAGTGAATCGTATGGATCAGTGAACCGGATGCCAGGAGACGAAGTTTCGTGGGAACACACCCTTTAAACACCCATCGGGACTTACCCGCCGACCCGAACGTTGCCGAAAGAAGTTTCTATCACAACATATCCTGATCCCAGACACAAGGCATGAAAAGCCTATGATTATAGCCATCACACTGATGGTCAGTTTATATCTTGTGGAGGAGAAGGAAAACCTCCTATGACCTTCTCGATCGTGAGGTGACTGTGTTTCGGTGGGGTATGTCACAGTGGGATTGTTCACACGGCTTGGGATAGTCTCTGTGTACATCCGCATGAAGATACCTGTATCAGGCTGGGTCATCGCTGAAGAGACCTAAAGGATGGCAAAGTGAGAACGTGCTGCGGTGGATAGAAGCTCAGTGGTTTGGGAGAATGCATGTGAAGGGGTGGAAAGTTCAAATAAGAGGTGGAGAATAAGAGGTTAGAGAGAAAGACAGAGAGAGAGAGAGAGAGAGAGAGAGGGGACAGAGAGGACAGAGATCCTGACTAAAGATGTAAATTATTGTATGAAGACAAAAAAGGTATATGTACAAAACATTAAGAAATATAGTTAGTAGTAGAGATGGGCAGAAAAAGAAGAGAAGGAACAGCAACAAACATAGGACAAAAGTATCAACAGAAGATATACAAAAGGAAAGAAAGATGACACCAAGATAGATAGTAAGAGATGGTATCATCAACCATTCTCATCATCATCAAAACTTAATGAGGGCAAACATGAACAGCACAACTCCTCCAAGAAAGAAACGTAAAGAAAAAGAGACACGTAACAGCTCAAACAATAACAAGTGTATTGAAAGAGCCCAAATAACCCTGTTGCATTTTGAAGCTTTGCTATATTAAAGATATCAATATCAGTCAAGTCAAATTGTAAAAATAGCACTAGAACAAAATTCAGATGAGTCAAACCGTTGAAAAGCTAAGAGCGGTGTTTTTAGTTGCCACGTTAAACGTTAACAACTTATTCACTTCATAACAATGGCCTCATACAGTATAATACTAATTAATATCAGTTTCTTGAAAAGGTATTCCAGGTAGCTTAAAAAGGGGCAATATCAATTCATTAGATATCAATAAAATCATATCGATGATGTTTACCAACTGACTGATAAATATGCTTTAAATCCAAGTTGTAGAAATTTGGTCGTAAAGAAAAGATCAATTTGACCTAAAAGAGTCCTTCGCTTGTCCATGTTCGTCAACTGCTGTACAGCGCCACTAAACATGTGTCCCAACATGGATTCTTCATCCTAATGTCAACGAGAGGCAAATAAGTTTTTTAACTTAAAATGCCTACTTTCAAGGAAACGGTATGAAATAATGATGATTTCCTTTAAAGTATTCAGTGCAAAGAAAGACAAGAGAAATAGAAATTAAGAAAAAAAGCTGTATCTCAAGCATAACAAGGTAATGCTAGCTTTGAAGACAGTTTTGTTGTTGTTGTAGTGACGAACCATCTTTCTCCTTCGGCAAAGAACATCTCAAATACATCACTAAAATCTTCTAAAATGAGAGAAAACTCAAGTTGAAAAGTACCAAAATCCTGAAAAAGAAAATTGTGTAGTCTCAGAAAACGGATGAACGAATTTGCTGATTCAACAAGAACAAAAATTCAAAGCTATTGAATCTTTTGTCATGTTAATATCACTTCTTCTCATTATAATCTTCCGTATTCCATTCATGATAATCAGTATCATAACACTTGTCATCAACTGCATTTGATACCATGATTCAATGAAACTCTTAGACGTCTGATCAGAGGACCTGCCTGTTTTACGGATGGGAAAAATATACATCATTTTCATGCACTTATTCATTTTTAGAATGAACAAAAAAGCACATAAAGAGTATAAACATGTATATCAGAAATAGATCAAAGGAAATGCATGAATTGCAACTACACCTGGTAACTTTCATCGAGCAAAAGATATCCAACTTAATACATTTATCTACAAATAATTCTGCAGCATTTAAAAAAAAATGAGATGTTTCCCAATAATTTGACACTTTTTCAAGGGCAATCCAACCTTCATAATGACTTTGTTTGCCAGAAAGCAGATACAAGAGAAACAGAATAGCGAAAGTTTGAAATAAATCGGACCGAAAGTAAGAAAGTTATGAATGTTTGAAATGTAAGATCACTAAATCTATGCGCATCTCAAATTGGCAATTTGGTCAGGGGGTTGTGACGTATGCACAGACAACTCTTCTGTATATTGTGCACAGAAATAACATAAATTTATTTTTTTATCCAAAGCTCTTTCTTTCTTGGGGCACCACTCAAAATATATCATGGAAAGCAAACAGGTCCTCTAAAAAGGAAAATTGCCTCCAGAGTCATTTATTTTGAATAACTGACATTTTAGCCATTTTGTCTGTTGGGAACAAATGGGAAAGTCATCCGGCGCAAAGTAACAGTGATATTCCGATTCAACCAATTTGAAATTCAAGTACGAATAGTGATTATAATTGTGAAAATTCATAACTTTCTTATTTCAGGTCCGAATTCGTTCCAACTTTCACAAGTCTGCTTCTCTGATTTTCCTGCTTTCTATTTTGTAATATGCTGTTAAGGTTGGATTTTCCTTTACATAGAAAGAGAGCAAGGCTCAAATAAGATCATGCAACAATCTTCTTTTGCTCAATTTCACTTTAGAAGTTTTTTGCAATCTGGCCAAAACTAAAATAAGGTTGAATAGATTAGGAGGGAGGGGGTCAAACCAAATTAACAGGGGCAAAATTAATTAAAGAAAGGCAAAATGCAATACCAAATATATATTTATAACAAATATCAATGCTGGACAATTTTTAAAGGGACGGGGGCTTACACATGTACTTGTTATGAGGGGGAGGGGTAAATTATGCTAATTTTTCTGTCAGAATTTCTGAACCCATATTGTTAATGTTTTCAAATGTTTGTAAGTTTTCTGTCTGAGTCAATAATGTATTTATCTATTTAGTAATTGATGTTGATTTGTTATTGTTGTATTTTCACATTTACATGGGGATAGTATGAATTAGATCATACTAGAATTTAAAGAGAAAATTAATACAATTCACACAGTGCATACAATAATAATAATAATAATAATTGTAAATTTATAATGCGCAGTTTCTATATGTATATACTCAACTGCGCATGACATATTGGATATTATTATTACCCCGGCTTTAGCTGTGCTGCCATTATAGCGCTCTAGCATTTCAAGGAATAAATTCCTACCGGGTACCCATTTACTTCACCTGGGTGGAGTGTGGCAAATGTAGATCAATATCTTGCCAAAGGACATTAGTGCGGCGGCGGGACTCGAACCGCGGACCTTGTGATCGACAGTCCGGCGACGTATCCACTCGACCACAACACCTCTACATCAAGGCATCAAGCCTTGAATATAATTCCTTACTGAGAAATTATATTTCCAGAATATTGATGACAATTGAGTAACTTCATTTCAATTTCATAAGAAAAAATGTCTCTGATCTCAAATAAAAGAAATGGGCATTGAAAACTTAACATGATTTCATATTTCCATGGCAGCTATAAACTTCAAATTATTTCCCATTTTCAGTGTGTTTCCCAAACGTAGATAAGGCCTTAAAAAAAAGATGTTGTATTGCCCTTTGCGACCGAACCCAAAATCTTGAAATCTAAGGTCGGTTTTATAAAAAAGTTTTTTTTTTCAACGTTTTTTTAGAAAAAAAATGTATTAAAGCATTTTCCGACAGACAGACCCATGTTTTGGCACCTAAATGGCAATACAACATCTTTTTTTTTTAAAGGCCTAATGACGACTTTATTCACTTCAATTTGATAGAAAAAAAGAATGTCTCTGACCTCAAATGACATGGGCGTTGTGAAATTGGAGAGGTAGAAGTAGAAAGTTGTGTTGCCTTCCATGCTGAAGTCGTATTCGTAACGAGACAGCTTTCGGCGGTACGTGGATTCAACGTACATTCCATCGACCACCGTTTGCTCCCCTTCCACGTCTTCTACAAGGCAAGCAGCAACAAGACAACATGCAATGATGGTTTCATTTTTAACATAAACTGCGTTCAGATAGTCAAGCTATAACTTATTTTATATGTCTTTCTTATTGAGCGGGACTACACTACTTACAGCTACTTGTGCCCTCTATATAGGTCCCACATGTTCCCCTTTTTCGTATGTTAATTGAGACTTGATTTGATGAGATAACCACCTATCAGTGACCAAGCTGGGAGGTCCAATCCCTCATGGGCAAAATAGTGCAGACAGGCTTTAAAAGCTATTCATATCTCACTTGCATTAATGATTTGTTTCGTTTACAAGTATTTGAAAACAATTATAGACACCAAAATTCATGAATGCATATTATCTGTTTGAAGCCAGTAGGGCATTAATATCCTATCATTTTACAGAGTTAACACCCTTCTGGCTCCAAACAGAAAACATGAAAACATATGGATAAGAACAAAATGAACAAATACATTTAAGTCCAATAAAGTTCACAAAAGGTTTTTTTGACACTGAAAAGTGTTTGAATTAGACCAGGGGGGTGTTTCACAAAGATCATACATGTAAGTCAAACTTATTTCTAAGTTGGACTTAACAATTATGGAAAACCATTAGCATCTTTGAAAATTTTCGTAAAACTTATTTTAAAAGGCATAATATTGATTCAAATCATTCATATTTTCTATTATCAGGGAGATTTCATGTTCTTGATGTGGACTCTATGAAAAGTCTAAAATACATGAATTTTTGCTTTTGAATATATTTTATTTTAAGGCTACAAATGGCTCTCCATAATGTTTTAGTCCAACTTAGAGTTAAGTTTGACTTAGGATCTTTGTGAAACACCCCCCTGCTCTACCAATGAGCCCTGCCTCTTGTCATTGGGAGGACGACTTACTTGCAGTGTATGTAATGTTGAGGTAGACTGGACTGTCAACACGAAGAATGAACTCAATATCTCGGTTTGGACTGTTGGGGGCAGTCATCATAGCGATGCGGGTGTGGTTTTTATCCTCCTCATCAGAAAGATTGAAGGTGTATTGCCAATTCATCAAGAGTTTGTCTGTAAAAATAAAATTGAGTGACAATGGAGAAGTGAATTTCTGGCCTACAATTTCATCCTTTTTCAACATTAGGCTGGCATATACAGTGAAACCTATCTATAAAGACCATCCAAGGGAGACAAGAAAAGTGGTCTTTGTAGACAGGTGGTCTTTGTAGACAGGTTCCTTTAGTACATGTTCAATGAGAAACCATTTTCAAGGGAAACAAAAAATGTGGTCATTATAGAAAGGTGGTCTTCATAGACAGATAGTCGCTAAACCAGGTTTGACTGTAGACTTGACAACTGCGTTAATTATTAACCTACAACTACTTTTATTTTGTTGAGTATTATATCCAAATAAGGAAAAGTGTAAAGTATCTAAATATTCCTTAAAGGTAGTGTATCCCTTTTGCAGCCACCATCAAATCTGTACAACTTTGCAGGAATTATGAATATGTCACGTATGTCCTATCTGTGAAATTTAAACGTTAGCAATGTCCTAGTATTCCAAATACAACAACACATACATGTACATTCTTTGATATTTTCTTTTCCCCCTCTCTGACAAACACCTTAACAGTGATGCCTGTACTTACTACTATAATATTGGTAGGAAAGAACAATTTCAATTCATACTTACAATAGCAGTAGCCATCATTTATAGGATTCCCATAGTACTTGGCATTTGTTTCACATCTATTGAAAAGAATGAAAAGATGAAATACAAGTCATTGCCATCAATTGACATCAATTTAATTCTAGTTTATTTCCACATTCGGTTGAAAAACAACGAAATACAATCAACATGTGTGCATCTCTGATATTACTTTGTTTAGATCAAAATTAAAAACCAATCTAATGGAAAAGGCATATTCAACCTAGTTCTTAAATTGTAACCTTACCCTTGTTATCTTATGTTTTACTTTTGTTCTCTTGTCATTTCTCTGTTTAGTTTTACTTGCATCAATAATGTAAAGCGCTTTGATATAAATCTCATATGAAAAGCACTATATAAGTAGAAGTTGTTATTATTATTATTATTATATAAAAAAAATATTATATACCCTCCCATGCCATAAGTATTGCAACATGATGAAATTCGTTAAATTTGTGGTTAATGACTTCTCTTTGTTGTAGCGGTGTTTTGTTCGAAATTGAACATGCATGACCGTTGTTTCGGTATAAAATGAATGTGCACCTTGTTCACTTTCTCATTCAATGCTACTGAGTCATTCATGCACGCACCATGGTTAAGACAGCCGAGTTATCTAACGAGCAACGCCGACAAATCGTTGCATTGAGACAGGAGGGGGTTTCGGTAGCTCGGATTGCTGATCGCTTTGGGGTATGCCGTCAAACCGTGTACCGAGTGTGCAAACGCTACGAGGACACAGAAAATTCCGACAAGCGACCAAGACCTGGCAGAAGCAGGAAGACAACGCCCCGGGAAGATCGCTACCTTCTGCGTCAGGCCCGTATGACCCAATTCGATTCAGCCCAAACTTTGGCAGCTCACTGGAGCGACAGAATTGGTAGCAGAATCTCAAAGAGAACAACACAAAGACGCCTGTACTCTTACAATCTCCATGCCCGCATTTCCAGGAGAAAGATTCTGATATCTCGCGTCAATCGCCTAAGACGCATCAGGTGGGCCACCCGAGTGAGGGATTGGACTTTGGAGAACAATTGGAGGCATTTCGTCTTTTCAGACGAGAGCAGGTTTTGTCTGTCTTCGAACGACGGAAGAGTAAGAGTCTGGCGTGAACCTAACACCTCTTACGACCCAAGGAACCTTACTTACACCCAAAGGGGTTCAGTTTCAGTCATGGTCTGGGGATGTGTCGGCCTCTATGGAGTTGGCGATCTTGTTGTCGTAGATGGGAACATTGATAACGCCAAATATCGAGATATTCTGGACGCCCACTTGTTTCCATCCATTGCTAACATCTTTGGCAACGCGCAACACCCGTTCGTCTTCCAGGATGACAACGCACCGGCACACAGGGCAGCCAGGATGGACCAATGGTATGACGAAACTGGCGTCAACAGGGTGCAGTGGCCGGCGCAATCACCAGATGCTAACCCGATAGAGAATCTGTGGGATGACATCAAGAGAGCCAACACCAAAGACCGACCAACCACGAGGGAAGGTTTGGTCCGCTCTATCTTCAGGGCCTGGGGCAGCATCACCCAAGAAAGATTGCAAGGACTCTACGCGACGATGCCAAGAAGGATGCGCGCCATCATTAGAAGGCGAGGATATCCAACAAAATACTAGAGACTCGTGAATCTTACATGAAAAATGACTATTGATATATCAATAAAATGTGCCTGATAGTATGATAAAAAATGATGCACTACATATTCATTAAAACAGCACTCATTTTCATGTAATTATTTGTCTCCTGTGTAATGTGTGTGTCTATGTTGCAATACTTTTGGCACGGGAGGGTATGTATATACAGTGTAGACACAGATTAAAAAGAAAGATGTACTACCCAAAATGTGGTGGGAACAACAAAGGCCAAACAGGCCTATAAAGCAATTCCTAGAAGTGAAAAGTAGTTTTCACATAAATCACATTTTGTACAGCAACAAAAGAGAAGACAAGAACTCTAATCACTATTTCTGCTCCCACATAACCTTTGACTCTTGACCTCACCTGTCGCAGTTGTTGCCGGTCACTCCCTTAGCATCACAGTAGCACTGACCAGTGGTCTGGTGGCATATGTCAGAGTGACCATTGCAGGAGCAGGGGTTGCACTCGCCACCGTTCTGCGGCCGACCGTAGTAGCCGAGCTGACAGGTATCGCACTTTTCACCTGCGAGAAAAGTAAAAGCAGACCGATAAAATTGACGGCAAGAGAACGTTGGAAGGTTTGGATTACTTACGTGTAAGCTTGCATATTGTGTATTAAAAAAATGTATTTCATAAAGCACAGTATCAAATATTATAACTTAAAAAAATATAATTTGATGACTGTTTAGTTATAAATGTGATCCAGTGTCTCTATCTATGCATAAATGATTTTTAAGACCATGTTTTCATTCATTTGCAATCTTTCAGTTGATCTTTAATTCTGGGAATACAGCCTCAATGTAACACTTCCTTACCACTAAAGATCCTTAGCATTCCCAACTCGCTTTTGTTATCTTTTCTTATCTTATTCCCATATGTAAATACTATATTAGGTTTACATTATATTTCTGAGGTACTTGCATACATTATTTATAGAAAATGAAATTTTCAAATATTAAACCTATACTTTATTCTCAGTATGATTATTCACTTAATCAACATAATAGTTTGAGAAGTATCAATAATATTCCCATTTCCATGTATAATTTTGTTTCCTTAAATCTTCAAAACTCTAAAAAATAAGGCTAAACTCCATGCATTGGCAAGGTTAACCATTTTGAAACAGAAAAAATATCTTTAAAAGAAACTTGAATTGTGTCAAATAAAACAAATTAAATCATTTCACATATCAAAAATTGAAAAAGGAGTTCACTCTAAAATATTCAGGCACAATGCATACCAAACAAACTTTTAAAAACAAAATATAGAAAATAAGGCAGACCAGTTTTATAAGAAGCCATTCAAGAGATGAAGTAACGATAGGTCACATGTACATGTGTGTACATAAAATTACTAAAATTCTAATATCAATGTTTCACTAAATTTTCCAATTATCCTGTCTGATATATGTCTCTGAGATGAGACGAAATGGATTTTTTTGATTTTCTAGATTTTACAAGCAGCAGGCATATTATGTATGCTATGCCCACAGCAATATAACAAAATATATATTTTCATTCAATTAGTCCATGTGCCTTCAATTAGTAATTAAAACAGTCCATGTAATAACAGCAGCAGTTTATAGAGTACCCTTTCCACTGAATACAACGCCCTTTACATACTAATCAGTTCTTGTACTTTATAAAGGTACTGTGCAACATGACTTTCAAAAAAAATCATAATTGCAAATTCAGCCTAAGAGGTCAATATGGCATGACAATCATATAATGAAACGATGAAACGGTTGACTCAAGACTGAGGAACTTGGTAAGAAACTTGGAGAGACACTTGATATAGAATTTTGAATGGGTCACTGAACCTGTCATAAACTGACAGATCACTACTGATGAATCATATAATGGGGGAAATAATAATTTCTTTGAAATCATTACACTCAATATGAGAATTTCTTGGTGAAAATTTGATTGTGAAGTTTTATTTTTATACCGTGGTATAATTAATTAGAATTCTTGTTCTTGTTAGATATAAATTATTTTCCATACTAAAAGTTGAAGACTTTTTAAAAAAGGGTTTCATTTTTTCTGACAGAGAGAAAATTTCATAAATAATGCAATCACTTTCATAATCATGTCAAGATGAAAGTTCAAACAAAAGTAGATGTAGAATATTGCTTTCAGATTGAAGACCTAAGATTGTCAACTACAAATACAAGATCACATCAAAGCTTCAGTGAGAGAAGTTTAAAAGATAAAGGATACAAAAGCATTTTGATAAAGAGAGGTTACAAGTGCGGTGCATATAATTATAGCCAATACCAGAAAGCCAGTGGTAGAAAAGTTTGAAAGGAAATTCTTTCTAATAATACAGCAGATTCATTTATTACCTCCTTAACCCTGTATACATGTAAATGTAATATCTAGCCGAATGCATTTTGATATTTTTGCAGTATTTAATTTTGTGGTTATTATTTTCAGCCAATTCCTACACTTACATGTATCCCCTATTATCTTCTCTCATTTCCCTTATTTGACAAGGAGTACAGCTCAGAAATAATACTTTCTTGTGAAATTCAATGTCCCAAATTCTGAGCTCAATTACAATGTGCAGTCTGAAAATATTCCACTGATTTAATAGTCTTGTAACAAAATACTAACAACTTTAAAAAACAGTGATTTCAACCCTCTTAGATTAAAATGGGTCTTTTCATTATATCGGGATGATGTGTTGTACACAAAAGATAACCGACCATTCATCTTTCACAAGATGCCAAATCATATACCTGTCGGGAAAGAACTTGTATTAAAAACACAGCACTGCCATCAAAAGCATGAAAAATTGAAACAACCATTCAACTATTTTTGACACAAATCAAGCAAAACATTCCAAAGCTGATAAAAAAACAAAAAAACATTGATTGATAAAACTGTAAAAACTACAAAAGCGTTTGAAATTGTCGCACCTTCTGTGTAGTCTTGGCACAAGCCACACTCAGACGAATTTTTCGGGCACGTACTGTGACCATTGCACTGGCATGCTATGTTTGTGTACACGATTCATTCAATCCAACAGGAGATTGGGGGATACAAATGATGGAGTTCGGATGGACCAAGGATCAGGGACAGCGGACGGAATCCAGGAGGAAGGAGATAATCGAAGGCACAAAACAGAAAACAAAAGATAAAAAATAAAGAAAAGAACAAAATGACATTTTCAGCAGCTAATCACAAACGTTCAAGTATTTCTACGTCGATTCAAGAAATAATAAATGGTTCAAAATGAAACTGATGAAACTAGCGGTGATGAAAATGAAATGGTGTACATTGTAACTTTAAAATGATGAACACGAAAATGAAAAATGATAAACAAGGCAGAAATCAAATGAAATCATTAAAAAAACATGAAATGAACTTCAAATGTTAGTTAAATTCTGAATTGCTTAATGGAGGAAACTGAAATAATAATAAGCAACACATTGCATGTGTGGCAGCTTGTTATAATACTCACGAAAGAAGAGAAAGATTTTTAAAAAAATCATAATAAAATGCAAAATTGTGACTACTCTTTGGTATAAATAGTTTGCAAGGATTTGGATAGGAAAAGAAAACTGAAATCTAAACTATGAAATGATCAAGAATATTGGAAAATGGAGAAAGTATCTATCTGATATGATAAAGATTAATTTCATCAGTGAAATTATGTGGAAAGAGACAGTAAGATTGAGGGGGAGAGGGAGATAGAAAGAGAAAGATGGAGAGAGAGAAAGATGGAAAGAGAGAGAGAGAGAGAGAGAGAGAAAGAGAAAGAGAGAGGGGGATAGAATTATATAAAAAAGAGAAAAAGAAAAGAAAAGGGAGAGAGATGCAGAGAGAAAGAGAAAACAGAAAGAAGGATAGACAGTCACCGACGGATACAGGGAGATAGGGGAGAAGGATGTGGAGAGCAGAAGACGGGAAGAAATACCAACAAATTCTAAAATCTAAATAAATGATGTTTGAGTGAGAGAGGTAAATAAATATATGAACAAGCTACAAACAAAACTTTAATAATAGTTTAGGAATCCCAGGGAAAGAAATAATAAGATCAACTTTGACACTTTTGAAAAATTCAAACGACTTTTAAATATTCTATCTACGTTTGACTTCAATGCCAGGAATAAATGTTCGAAATAACAGAATATGCATTTGGTATCATATATTTTATGAAATTTAAAGAAAGAAATAAGTATGATACGTTAAAGAAATGATGACTGAATGATATACTGTAACATAACCTCAAAATGAACATAAAATGAATAGAGCAACTACTTGGACTTGAAAGGTTAGGGGAACAACATGCATGATGACAGAATGCAATTGAATGATACCCATGCAGCATGCATCATGCAAACATATAAACAAACAAATGAACAATTCCTAATGGCATACATATTTCTCAATCTGAGATGTAGTCCAGTACAGTCTTAGACCAATTTCATTGCCTCCATCCGTGGCTGAGGGATAGTCTACATGGTCTGCATGTATGCCTCAGTCCAGAACTGGTCCACGATCAAGGATTGGGGCACAACTAATTCAATGAGTATTTTTAGACAATGACTGAACTACATGTACATGTATAGGGCCTGGGTTCAGGTATCAGTCTTGGTTTAAAGCCTATCTGCACTAGTTTGGCCAGGAGGGATTAGACCTCCCTGCATGGTCACTGACAGGTGGTTATCTCATCAAATCAGCTCTCAATTAAAATAAGAAAAAGAGGACCATGGGGGGACCAATGGTCACCGCTTAGGCATTGTTTGCTATATCAAGGTTTCAAATAGCTATAAGTAGTGCAGTGGGGCTTTAAGTGATCTTGTAAGGAACAAGATTTCCCTTTTTACAGGTTCGGTTATTGGTCTAAAACTGAATTTCTGGACTATACCATGACTGGTTCTATTTAATTGAATCATAATAAGTTGTTTTGTCTGACAATACACTGAATGAATGCTATAAATCCTAAAACCTCACAACAATAAATAACATTAATTCTTTCTAATTTTCCATTCCAATCTAGCTCCAAAAGCGTTCCATTGTCATGCACTAGTGTCAAACCATGTGACAACTTCAGCCATAAAGGAATGAACAGCCTCATTTACCTATGCAAACTCTGATCACATATCTATGCTAACATTTTAACGCTTAAAGGGAACCAACTCTGTGACAAGAAATACATTTTTGGGAAGAGAATTTCATAAATGCAAGTCATTTGCTCTCAACATGCTAAAAAAAGTTGGATTTTTAAATTAAAAATTACCACAATGAAAGCAGGTTTTGTTTTCTTTGTTTTCATTTTCATCAATGAAGCAATCTAACAGTAAATGGGTATATGTATTGAGAAAAGTGAAGTTTAAACCATTTTCACAAACTAGAATTGATACATGTACTTCTATCCAGAGAGACTACAATCTACTGAAATATTGAGTTTTAAAACTTTTATGACATTCTATAACATTCAACAAACTTTGGAAAAAAATAGACAAGGCATCAGATGCCAACTTACATGGACACTGGACGAAATACCACCTCTGGGCGGGGCACATGCCGTAGTCGACAACGACGGGTTCGAGGGCGGTGTTGACGGGTCCGGTGTAACTGCCTTCCATGCATGCCCCTAGGCCGTCCCTGTTTCCTCCATCACACCAACCGCAGGCAGGGTCACCCTGGCACTCCTGACACGTCTGGTAGTTGGTACAGATTTCTTGGAGGAAAGGAGAAAGAGATTTTAGGATATGGGGAGCGTATGTTTTACAGAAGACCAAATTGAGAACAGGGCCCCATCTTACAAAGAGTTGATATTAATCGTAATTCTTTGTAAGACGGGGCCCAGATCTCCTGTAGAAAGGGATTAATTAGACATATTATCAAGTTACATGTAACCTAGGTCAAGCAGGAATTCCTGAGAGGTTCCTTGGAAAAATTAAGAAAGGAATCATCAAAGAAGACAAGTAAATACTTGATGAAAGACTACATCAAGATTTTGTAGGAGAGTTGTAGGCAGAGAAATAAAGATGGGGAAAGAAGGGTATAGAGATGAGAGAAGAGATTGAGAGAGAAATAGATAAAGAGAAGAAAGGGTGGAGGAAGAAAGAGAGGGGGTGGAGAGAAGAAGTGAGAAATAGGGAGAGATAGAGAGACAGAAACTTATAAAAAGATGCTTAGAAAGAGAGATGACACAGCTAGTAAGAAGCACAAATTGATCTCATCACTTACTTTGGCATCTCTCTACATTGGCTCTCCACTCCAACAGACATACTAACAGACAGACATACAGACATTCAAACAAATGGACAAACAAACATACAAACAGAGAGTTTTACCCACTTGAGCATTTCTCTACATTGGTTCTCCACTCCAAGCACAGACCAAATGGAAATGACGTCATGTACGAGGTGGAATCCACACAGACAGACACAGGCAGACAGACATACAGACATTCAAACAAATGGACAAACAAACATACAAACAGAGAGTTTTACCCACTTGAGCATTTCTCTACATTGGTTCTCCACTCCAAGCACAGACCAAATGGAAATGACGTCATGTATGAGGTGGAATCCACACAGACAGACACAGGCAGACAGACGTACAAACAGGCATTCAAACAAACAGATGAACAAACAAAGATTTTTACTCACTTGGGCATTTCTCTACATTGGTTCTCCACTCCAAGCACAGACCGAATGGAATGACGTCATGTACGAGGTGGAATCCACACAGACAGACACAGGCAGACAGACATACAAACAGGCATTCAAACAAACAGACGAACAAAAAAAGAGGTTTACTCACTTGGGCATTTCTCTACATTGGTTCTCCACTCCAAGCACAGACCAAAAGGAAATGACGTCATGTAGGTGGTGGAATCCACACAGACAGACACAGGCAGACAGACATACAAACAGGCATTCAAACAAACAGACGAACAAAAAAAGAGGTTTACTCACTTGGGCATTTCTCTACATTGGTTCTCCACTCCAAGCACAGACCGAATGGAATGACGTCATGTACGAGGTGGAATCCACACAGACAGACACAGGCAGACAGACATACAAACAGGCATTCAAACAAACAGACGAACAAAAAAAGAGGTTTACTCACTTGGGCATTTCTCTACATTGGTTCTCCACTCCAAGCACAGACCGAATGGAAATGATGTCATGTAGGTGGTGGAATCCACACAGACAGACACAGGCAGACAGACATACAAACAGGCATTCAAACAAACAGACGAACAAAAAAAGAGGTTTACTCACTTGGGCATTTCTCTACATTGGTTCTCCACTCCAGGCACAGACCGAATGGAAATGATGTCATGTAGGTGGTGGAATCCACACATCTTTCCTGACTCTGACACCACATACAGCTGTTGCTATTGTCTGACAGGCACGAGGAGCAGGAATCAAATAAACCACATGGTTCACTGCATGACCCTGTATTACCTGTTAGCAAACATACATGTATATAACACATATCATTTTAATTTACTTGTTTCAAACATCGCAAATGCAAATGAACTTTTTGATGTTTCTAAATAAAACCTGTACCTACTCAGGCAGTTAATCTAAGCATAAAGCTTTTGTAAATAAGTATTTGTAATAGTGGTTATCATCCTGTTGTCATTGACAATGTAAGATACTGTCAGCTGACTGAAAACTATACAACAGACAAATTTACTATTATGCCTTTTCTACTCATGCTCTGGTTACCTCTTGATGTTGATGGTTGACATCAGCCACCCCCTCCCCCTCTCTCTCCCTCTCTCTATCTGTCTCTGTCTGTCTCTCTCTCTATCACTCTCTCTATCTCTCATCCTCTCTTTCTCTCCTCCCCTCCTCCTCCTCCTCCATATGTTCTACGATGGTTATCTACAATAGTCTAAACCATGACATAGTTACCTCCCGATGTTGAAGGTTGACACTTTCCACCCGACCATTGACAGTAGTTCTGACTATTGCAGGAGCGGCAGTTGTAGAAGACGGAACATGTTGGTGGTTCACACTCTTGACTGCTTATCTGATATGGGGAATAAAAGAACAAGGTTTATCTCAAGATCATCACACAAAAATCAAATTTGTTGTCTCCACTAGAAAAGGTAAGTGGTACCCTACAGATTCTTGGGTAAAGTCATGGGCCCTGGGAAATTTTGCATTGGACCAACACTTCTAGTAAACAGAAAATTTGGCCAATTCACACTCTTGGCTAATCTGACAAGGCAAAAATAAGAATAAAGTTTATTGTAAGATTAATACCAGCAAAACAAAATCAGCATTAGTCAATATAAGATTTCAGTACACAATACTCATGTGTACATTTTCTGGTATTTTTTTAACAGGACTCTTCTTGGGTTTTCTTAAAGGAAACCGAACCCCAAGTAATAAATTTACCTATTCTGAGAGATATATTATATTATTGCCCATAAATCTACAAGATTCCCCACCAAAGTGTATGAGAGAGGTATAAAGCAAAAATAAATTACAGTTACTCAGCACGACATGGGCATCGCCATTTTCTTGATAATGTGACGTACTATGCGAAGTCGGTTATCAAGTAAATGTATTCAAATTTATGGATGCTTCTTTCCCAGACGTGTGTGGTGATGAAGCATTTCATTCAGCTGCTATTATCCTTTGTACTATAATTGCCAGAAGGCAAATTGCATAAGTAAGTCAGTGCTCTCCTGGGGTGAAGGTTTCTCATAAATGAAATGGATTTGTCAACTGCTATAGTGTAGTATTTATAAATTAATTTTGTTACAATTGTGCCCCTGTTATTTATTATTCACCTTATATAATTTATATCATCTCAATTATTATTTTTTTTCATTGAAAAGTAAAGGTTTCGTTATTGATTTAAAAATTCTTTCCAACTAAAGCTGGGTGCATGATACATGTACAACTTCAACAGGTACGTCACATTTTCAAGAAAATGGCTGCGCCCATGTTATGCTGAAAGGCATCACATAATGCGAAGAATATCTTCATTTATATATATCTTGTATATTTTCGTAAGGAATATTGTACATCAAAGGGCAGGAATACATCTCATTTTTCAGAATACCTACACTTATTCTTTGGGTTTAGGTTTCCTTTAAGCTCTTTTAGAAACACCCACTGCTCCTATGTATTTCCTTTTTATTCAAATCAAATGTACATCTTACTATGCCTGATAAGATGACTAAATGTGTTAACTAAAATCCAACCATATTCAAAGAATCTAATAGCTTTCATCAACTATTGTTATTAATAACAAATTTTTAAGACAAGGCCCTCATTTCCATCCTCTAAACAAATGTAAAAATGGCTTGTTCTATCTTACCTCATTTGCACACTTCTTACTGCAGTTTCCATTGCAAAATCCACAGCCTGGTGCCTCAACACAGGATTGGCAGGTGCTGATCATACCGCACTGTGGATCTACAGAACAAAAAATGGTAACCAGTCTTATATCAATCTCTTCAACACTGTACATCTTCCACAAGCTACACACACAATCAAAAGCCTCAGCAATTATTTACAACAATATATCAAGGAAGGAATATTCCTCATTTTCTTTTTCATGTTCTATGAACAGCATAAAATGTCAGATTTGATAGTCAGCATATAGTTGTGAAAGTGAAAATCTATCCATCCATGATTTAATCACACGTTAACAAAATTGGTGAGTAAGAGAATATTTCCTCTGTTTCGAGCCCGATAGCGTTTCCTCTGTGCAAAATTATATGAGTTAACACCCTTCTGGCTCCAAGCAGACAATTTGCTATTCATTATCATAAGTTACAGTGTAGTGTTCTAATAGGATAAGGTTTTCTGGAAGGGCTTAGCACATTTTTTTTCTGGATTTGATGACATCAGATATCATGCAATTTTCAATTATTATAATTTTTTGTTTTGACATCCATACGGTTTGCTACATGTATGTTGGTTTTATTTGCATATCAAAGCTTTCTATTTATTTCTTGAAATGTTTTTGTACTTTCGCTTTGGACCACCTATCATTGTCCTTAGGGTTGTACCAGGTCCATAGAATCCATTTAAAATTGAAATGTAAATGGAATTTTGTTAAACATTCAGCACCAGATATGCAAATGTCTAAAGACAGGGATACAGTCTATTTTTTTAAATACAAAATTTGTATGAAAAAGAGCAAAGAAATCTTGGGTTTAAAACATTAGTATGAAGGCCACAAAATATGAAACATTCCTCCCAAGATAGGAATGGTTGGCAGCTATGGAAATCAAGGGGGGTGTTTCACAAAGATCCTTAGTTGAACTTATCTCTTAGTTGGACTTAACAATTATGGAAAGCCGTTAGCATCCTTGAAAAATATTTTGGAAAAGTTATTTCAAAAGGCATAAAATGTTGATTCAAATTGTTCTTATTTTCTATTATCATGGGAGATTCATGTTCTTGATGTGGAATTTATGAAAGTCTAAAATAATTGTATTTTTGCTTTTTAATATATTTCATTTTAAGGCTACAAATGACTCTCCATAACATTTAAGTCTAACTTAGAGTTAAGTTCGACTTAGAATCTTTGTGAAACACCCCCTGGACTTTCTTAAAAGACATACCTTCTTCAATGGGGCAGGTTGAGTGGTTAGTTGCTAGCTCTGGGACGGAGTTTGCTGACACGCAGGATTCACTAACGAGATCCCAGACGCACCAAAGGCCAGGCAGGCCTTCTACACACACGGAAGAATTAGTAATTACAGAACAGTTCCCTGGAAATCATAAGAAAATCAGGAGAATGCAGATGTTAGAAATAAATTGAGATATAAACTCGTGATAGTGTCCCACAAATCATTTAATGTGAACAACAAACTTGAACTAGCACTGTTAAAAGCCCTTTTTTTCAACATATAAGTCAAGAGAAGATATTAGATATTTGTTCACTTTGCTAGCAACAAAAATGTGAAATATATATGAAAATAGTTCAGTTTTAGCATATATTTTAAAATGGAAATCGACCCTTATAACCAACTGGTATAAAAATTTAAAAAAATGAAATTTGTCTGCTTCCATTAAAACCAACATATTATCAGGATAAACTTCCCCTTAAAATATGCCACCTGGAGACGAGAAATGAGGTTGATATAAGCAGATGATCTTCATGTACAAGTTAAGATCGTACAGGTTTCAATGAGAAACATTGTCAAAGGAAACAAACCAGGTCTTGAATTGATAGATGGCCTTTATATACAGGTGGTTGCTATAGCACTTATGATGACCAACATTATAACAAATGTCAATCAAACTTATGGGATACATGTATATCCATTTTAAATTTCTTGAAACCAAAACGGTAAAGGTTGAATAATCTATGTATCACTTATGAATGAATGAATGAATGAATGAATGAATGAATGAATGAATGAATGAATGAATGAAGTGAAATAAAATGAATGAATGAATGAATAAATGATATGAATAAATGAAATGAATGATTGAACAAAAGAATGAAATGAAATAAAATGAATGAATGAATGAATGAAATGAAATAAAATGAATGAATGAATGAAATGAAATAAAATGAATGAATGAATGAAATGAAATAAAATGAATGAATGAATGAATGAATGAATGAAATAAAGGAATGAATGATTGAATGAACGAATGAATGAATTAAATTAAATGAGTGAAATGAAATGAATGAATGTAGGAATGAATGAATGAATGAAATAAAGGAATGAATGAAGTAAAATAAAGGAATGAATGAATGAATGAATCAACGAATTAAATCAAATGAGTGAAATTAAATGAATGAATGAATGAATGAATGAATGAATGAAATAAAGGAATGAATGAATGAAATAAAGGAATGAATGAATGATTGAATGAACGAATTAAATCAAATGAGTGAAATGAAATGAATGAATGAATGAATGAATGTAGGAATGAATGATTGAATGAATAAACGAATGAATGATTGGATGTATGAATGAGTGAATGAATGAATGAATGAGTGAATGAATGAATGAATGAATGAATGAATGAATGAATGAATGAATGAATGAAATTAAATGAGTGAAATGAAATGAATGAACAAATGAATGAATGAAAGATTGTACCTGGGATGTATAATAAGGCACTGGTAGAGAGAAGACCATTGTATCCACTGTATATCCACATGGATTCCTGATAGATGAATGCTCTATGAGCAAAGAGAGATACCTCGTTGTGTAACCCTGTGGTCATCTCTATCTGCTCCCAGCTTGCACATTCTGGAGGGAAAAAATTCATAACTCTGTCATTATCATCTTGATCATCATGGTCATTGCATTCTATCTTATTATCACTATCACCATCACCACCACAACCATCGTCATCCTCATTACCATCATTGCCCTCCTCCTCCTCATCTTCATTATCATCACCATTTTTATCAACATCATCTCCATTCTCATTGACAACATCTCCATCATTGCCCCCTCCCCTACTCATCATCAGCATTATCTTTGTAATCATCATCACCATCATCACCATCAGGCCTAAAACAAAAAGATGTTGTATTGCCCTTTGCGACCGACCCAAAAATCTTGAAATCTACGGTAGGCTTTTTTAGAAAAAAAAATGTATTAAACCATTCAAAACTGAGAAATATCAGCCCAAAGAGGGAGTAAAAATGAAATTAAAAAAGTAATTTAAAAAAAAAAAGATTTCTGACCGACTGACCCATCTTTTGGTACCTACAACACCTTTTTTTTTAGGCATCATCATCATCATCTCCTTCATTATCACCATCATCTCCACTGTCATTATCAGAATAACATCATTATCACCTACATCACCATCACTATGCTTATTATGACAACGTCATCCTAATTATCATGTTAATACATTTTATTTATAAATGGAAGAGGAAAATGGTAAATTTGATATTGCATTGTCCGTTCAACTATTTCTTAACATACCCACACCTATCTTCTTTTAAGTGTACACTGTATATACATGTATGTATGTGGGAGGGGGGGGGGGGTATCCAAAATTCTTTTGCGGAAGAAACTCACCAAGGTTGTAAGCTAAGAAGTCTTTGGAATAGCACTTGGCTCCATTAGGGCGTGTGTTGTCTGTATGCGTATTGCCCCCAAATACAAGCATCAACCCGTTTAAAATCACTGCTGAGTGGAAAAACCGGGGCTGAAGACTCTCCTTCAATATAAGCCTGTAAGGATGAAAACAATGAATGATATAACAGTTTCTGTATTTATTAACATCCAAGTTTGATTGGCTTAGGGTGTTTTATACACATTTTTGGGAGAAAACGTTCAAGTCTGCAATGTCCTGAACCATAGAGTTTTAATATAGCCACATATTTTGACCTGGAAATCATTTCCATTATATTCAGATTTTCAACTCCATGTTAATGTGAATAAAAATAGCTTAAAATTCATAATTAAATTGACAGCACAAGGGGCAGATAGATTTTATAGACTTTGACTTTCTTTTGCTATTTGTAACTAGTTGCATCAAATCTATGAATTCCATAAAGTACTCAGTATGTCACCCATAAGTGATCCAATATAATGCTAGGTTTGTTACTCAATTAAATGAAATGTTTTTTACGAATGATTCCCTTTAATGGAAATGAAGAAGATACAGACCCAATGAAACAACAAATCAGAAGAAAAATAAATTCCTTCAATTTGATCACTTTCTCATGGTATGCCAGGCTAAAGCTGTGGTAATTACATTACTGCAGGGCCCTCATGAAGTTTATTTGGTTTGATGGTTGTTTTACCAGACTGCTAAGAAAACATGTGTATGCTTGCAAGTAAGCGACCAGGGTACAGAATGCTTTAAGTCCTCTCCGAGGGACTCGGTTATGAGGATTAATGCCTTACCAAAGGGCACTAGTGCATTGACTTGATTTCGAACAAGCGACCTCCCAGTTACGAGACCATTGCTCTACCACTGAGCCATCGCGTCTCTTTCAAAGTCATACTAATGATAGCTACAATGGATAAAGGCCACATAATGTACTTACCATGATTTTGTATTCACATCATACTGGTATGTTTGGTCTGACAGCATATGATCGTTGCCCGTCTTCAGTTTAAACCCTCCGTGTATGTAGATCTTGCCACTCTCTGGGTGATAGACACTGGAATGCCCGTACGCCCCTACCACCGCTGCCCCCCTGGTCCTCACCTCCGACCATCTACCCGATGCTGATAAGAAGAAGAAGAAGAAAAAGTGCAGAGGAAAATGATGAAATGTGCTTAATTCTCTAATCAGTACTATTGCAACTTATATAGGGGGTAGTTGTCCTAGGGGTTAGTTGTCCTAGAGGGTGGTTATAGTAGGGGTGGTTGTCCAGGGGGTAGGTGTCCTATAACTCTATTGCAATGATGTTGGGATATGTATGTCAATATTCCATCTCAAAATGGTTATGGTTGAATACCCTTCCACATATTAACTGGGCATCAACCTTTGGGCAGGATATTTTTGGATATCTTTGGATATCTTTGGATATATATGTTTGGATATGTTTGGATATGTTTGGATATGTTTGGATATGTTTTGGATATGTTTTGGATATGATTTGGATATGTTTTGGGTATGTTTGGATGCTTGGATGCTTGGATATGATTTGGATAGGTTTTGGATATGTTTGGGTATGTTTGGATATGTTTGGGTATGTTTGGATATGTTTGGATATGTATGTCAATATTTCATCTCAAAATAGTTATGGTTTAATACCCTTCCACGTATTAACTGGGCATCAACCTTTGGGCAGGATATGCCAGGAACAGCATGGAAAGGGTTATACTTATACATGATCAAATCTCACTCTCTGTTTTTGAAATTGAACTTTTCGAGTATTATTTGGGGTTGATCCCAAGCCTTGATAATATCATCTCCAACGCGTTTTCTTGGGAATTGCAAACGCGGTGCCACTGGAACTGGGAATAGCTGAACTTAGTTTGCAGAACCAGACCCCTGTCAGTCATACCACACACCACAAGGTCTGAATTCTAAGACTAAGTGTACATAGACCTAACGTTCAACTGCACACCATAGGCCCTGTATTGTAGCTGCCAGAGACAATGTTAGGCTATGCTCGAGGCTTTACGGAATGGTGTTTATGTGTCAAAAAAAGTCTGTGCCTTGCAGACTAGGCTAGGCTGAACTGGGTATAGTGTAATCTTTCTGCTGATCAACAATATGGATAATGTTCATGTTATGTCACCTTATCAGATGAACTCCAGGGCATTTCATAAAGCATGAAAATGAGTACATCGGCAGTGGCAGATAATTGATCATGATACCGCGACAAATATGTGGAGGATGACTGTCAGAAATTAATGTTTACAATATCATTTTGTTCAAGCGATTTTTTAATAATCTTTTTAGGATTATTAGCTCACAGCCAAAAAACAAAAATCTATAAATATATATAGTTGTAACATGTACAAGAAAATAACTTCTTGTTGCAGTATTCTTCAATCTTTAAAAAAGAAATGAAATATGCACATTCCAAGATTCATAGAAATTGACATTGACTTGACTTTTAAGACATAAAGCCTTTTAAAAACATAAAGAACTTCAAATTAAAAAGGGGATGGGGAAAGAGAGAGAAAATCTCTTTCATATATTTGTTCTTTTCAAAATCTTTACATTTTCCCTTTCACTTCATATCATTGATGGCTGTATTTCATTTCACTTCCCAAATTTTCGCATTGATCAGGCAACTGATAAGAGACTATACATGTAGGTCTGGATATAGTAACCACTATTTAAGATATTATGTGCGATTCTTTGACATTTTCAAAAATGTTTACGCAAATTTAATATATAGGTTAGATAAAGCGATATTCTAATAGCTGTTGTATCACATACCTTTCCCCGACCATAATTAATTTCAGAGCAAAATAATTATACAGGTTAGGTAACATACCTACATGTATTTATTCAGATATCATACCTTTCCCCCAATTTCATTAAATGTCTGAGCAAAATATTATGGTCATGTAACACAGTATCTAAAACACTATTTCAGATATGTTGACGATTTATTTTCTTTATTGTTCGCCCTAATTTGCACAGCTACAGGTGAATACTCATCATTCTTAACCCATTTCTATGCATCAAATACTCCATCACCCAGAGCAACATCCTTCGTTTAATCTTCCTTGTCATTTTATATTCATAAGGCCTGTTTTCATCAGCTCGAGCTTGGCAAAGAACCTGCTATTTAACCATCCCTATTGAACTGGTTAATTTGCCCCTTCATTAGCCTGCAATTGCAATTATCAGGATATTTGTTCAAGAAAATATTCAAGAAAATATCCAGAGAAATCTTGGTCTTGTTTCCAAAATATCCCGCTATTTGGGAATTAGCGGGCTAATTTGCGCCTGTCCGAGCTAGTTTGTGATGAGCTTATCAGCCTGGTGAAGATGTAATCTAGAGCTTCCGGATAATATCCTAAGTCTGAAACTAGCGGGTTATTTGGCAAACTTGAGCTGATAAACACAGGCCTCTTTCCTTCACTCTTCCCCACCAATTGTTTACATGTACATCATTCGTGCATGCATTGCCAAGATGTATCGACCCACTTCCTTTTCTCAGTAAGTGTAAATCTTCCTTCAGGAAAAACAAAGCTACTGGATTTCCTTTTATGTTGAAAAAAACTTGGTCAAGTTTAAATGCCATGCCCTCAAATATTGTTCATTTTACGGCAGCCTCACTGATTATTCTGATTCTCCAAATAGCCCAAAAAATATTCATACGTATATAAAGATCACTTTTATTTAAAGACCAACTCTTCCCTCAAGAAAATATTGAAAGTAATTTGCATATCATCTGCTGAAGGGTGCTCCGTGTTAAAGTATGACTAAATGAACATCTGGCACTATTAGAGCAGACCATTTACTGTAATTGCTGTTATTTTCACATGATTATTAGGATCTAGGAGTGACTTGTGTAAATCACTATATCACTTGTTTTTCTAGTTTACCTCCAATGACTTACATATATTTCAACTTTATCTACTTACTGATGTTATATTCCTGAACCAGATTGATGTAGCTATATATGGGACTGTAGCCAAAGAAGACGACCATGACGTCATCAATGACATGCGCACTGTGGCCCTCTAAGGCGTGGGGTCCGTCCGTCATGTTGGTCCATGTTTGAGACGCAAGATCAAAGGACCACATCTCAGCTGTTATCCCGCTCCCGGATAACGACCCGCCGAACATATAGAATTTATCCTGCGACAAAGGGATTCAAATACATGTGTAAGAGTTCATGAGCTACTGTACCTTCTACTGCTACAGAAAACTTGCACTACATACACATACTCCTGAGAATCATAGCAATCCCGGATATTGCACTTTGTTAAGGGCAAACAATTAAAATTAAAATTAATAAAACTTCATTAAAATTAACAAAATATCAAAAATAAAAAAAACTTGTTACCCTCAAATAAACTTTTATCAATCTTTTATTGAACATCACTAAAGGATAATTTTTTTATTAAACATCACTAAAGGATATTTCCTTGAAAGGTTATAAAAAACCAACATAATGCATTGAGTCTCAGTTTTATTGTTTTGTTCATGAATGTTTAGGTCTTGAATGAACAAAAATTGGTGAATAAATGAGCCTCCACATAAAGAGAGATGAAATGGAAAGGAAAAAGAGTGGATGGAGGGAAGGGGAGATGGAAAGAGAGGAGGGGAGAGAGGGAGATAGTAAAAGAGGGAGAAAGAGAGAAAGAGAGATGGAGAAAGAGAGAAAGAGAGTGGGAGAGAGTGGGAGAGAGGGAGAGAGAGAGGGAGATAGTAAAAGAGGGAGAAAGAAAGAAAGAGAGAGGGAGAAAGAGAGAAAGAGAGTGGGAGAGAGTGGGAGAGAGGGAGAGAGAGAGGGAGAGAGGGAGATAGTAAAAGAGGGAGAAAGAGAGAAAGAGAGAGGGAGAAAGAGAGAAAGAGAGTGGGAGAGAGTGGGAGAGAGTGGGAGAGAGTGGGAGAGAGTGGGAGAGAGAAAGAGAGAGGGGGAGAGAGAAAGGGAGAAGGAAGGGGGGGACACATAGACATAGAAATTAAGGACTTTTAGATTCGCACGAAGACAATGTGGATTGCTACGCTCGACATCCTTTTAATGCACTGCCTTGAATGGACGTCACACGTATCGGTCCACGCAAATCTAAAAGTCCCTAAAACACTATTCAGGGCCTCAGGAAACTGCATAATTGTCAGAATATTTCACTGGCTTCATGACGTAAATGCAGTCATGTATGAATTTCAGGGTTACTAATCGAATCCTGAACAAAGAGCAGGATAATTGTGCCACTTCTTTTTAACCCCAAATCTATTTCATTAAAAGTCTTCCTCTTCCTCTTTATCTCCAAGAAGACAATATAAAATTCATACCTCATACAGGACAGTAGAATGTGAAAATCTTGGCCTGGGCAGGACTCTGTATTCTGCCACGGCATCTATGACCAGTGATGTTTCTGTTGGAATGTTATATCTGAAACCATAAAAAGAAAAAGAAAAAAATGCTTGATTAGAAAATGAAGACATAGGCTGTAATGTAAAGACACAAGGGTAGATGTAGTCTGATCCAATCCACAGATAAATTGGTATACCGGTAGTGCTTTTCCCTTGCAGTTACAAAGCGCTTAAAAATTATCTCCACATTATAAGGACCCCTTAAACACTTTTAAAAACTTGCTTTTGCAAAGCATCTACAGTGAAATGCACATTATACTCAAGTTCTCACAGTTAACTAAATCATTCATACCCCTCGTACGTTTTATATATTTTGAATTTTTCGTAGCTCAAGAATGAAAGATGGACTGGTTGAATTATTTAGAGACTTTGTTGAATACTTTTAGATGTGAGCTCAATTTTTCACATCCTTAACAAAGTTCAAAACTTGGTAAGGGTATGAATAATTTATTGTTAGCTGTCAGTCTTGGGATAGCTTAATTCCAGGAGCTACTAGAAGGGATTACCATTTCAAGGATCCAGCCCATGAACACTGAATATCAACATACACTGTATGCATCTCATAATGGAAATTTTGATAATAATCATTATAGATCGAGAGAGAGAGTAATCTGGAATGAGGGGACGGAATCCGATCTGGCGAAAATGAAGCCCCTCACGTCACTTTTAATCAACGATATCTTCATTTCATCCACTGCACGATACAATAATACAATCATCAATATGGATCTCCTGATTGAAATCCATCTACATAACATGTATCCACTCTTCTGTTTCAATAGATGCAGGCCTTCACAATCCCATCTCTCTTTGGAAAATATAATATATTGCATGAGACCTATATATGTAGTTCATGGTCATTTATTGATGCGGAGCTAATTTCAGAAAATGTCATCTTTGTTATTAAATATCAACAGACCAGCATACATTGTAAATAGGGCCCCTCAATGTCTGCCAATTTGTTGATGATAATATCTAATTGAAATAGGAATTCCTTCAAAAAAAGAATGTATGTGAGATGATGATGACTACCATAGAGGGACGAGGATGTACACATGTACAGAAAGAAATATAAAATTGCATATTTTTGTAATGACTTTGATACATTTATGTTACCGCTGAATCATAATATTAACCCAGCGCCTACGGGAACTGGGTGAATCCTGTACGATGTCGACAGGAATTAGATAATTCAGTGGTCAACAGGATGACTTATGACTGTCACATTAATAGCTACGGTTTACCAAAATCAACAACATATTCTTTGATAATTTTTATGTATAGCTCTGCTCTGTGAAACAACAGTTAGTTTGTAAGAGCGCTATAGAAATGACTTATTGAATTTGTATTGTATGGTCCAAGTAACTCTGCAATAGTCGGTGCTTATATGACATGTTACAATTACCAAATGTACTAGTGATTTCTATTAAAGGGAGTTCCACACAAAGGAAACCTAATGGAGTAAAAGTTTACAAATAAAATAAGGAAAGACAGATATTTATTTTAAAAACAGTGCCCACTGCATGAGGATTGCCAAAAATTGAATTGGAATAATCTGTTCAACGGCACTCTTCATCAACTGGTGATCAGATGTTCAAAAGAATAAAAATGATTTATTAAGACATTCAATTACTATCCACCAAAATCCCCATATAAAATAACTATTGGATACAAGCCCCGTTTTCTGTCTAGTAATTTGTATTGTTCACAAGATTATGCCACTGAATGCTCGACTGAAGTGTATCACTAGGGGCATTCACACCTACAACAAAGAGTGAGATTTAAAAATTAAATTTTGCATCGCGATCCAAAAATAGTTTTTCTTTGCGTGTGTGGACAGAATAATTTAACTAATCCTTGCAGTAAGATCTTTTGATTTTCCAGAATATTTGCGATAGTTTACCGGGCACTGTGTGTGTGAATGGCATTGAGAATATTAAAAAAAAAAAAATCAATTTATTTAATCGCAGGATTCCAAGCGAGCATACATCGTCGAGATTCATGCATGCGCAGTTCGGACTTTCTTGCCGTCGAACAAGTATTCTCCCTGTGAATGGTTGCCAAAAAAAAAAATCAATCTTTGCATCGCGATCCAATTCGCGCTAAATTGACATGTGTGAACAGGCCTATTCTCATGGAGTATTCATTAAATATTCACTTTATGAATACATGCATGCCTGGATTGGACAGAAACAGTGCTGAGATTAGCCAGGATTCTCACTGAGGGTGGTTTGCGGTTTTCCGCATCCACCTGGAATCACCCAGCAAGCCACAGTAGCAAGGTGGGTAATGGCTTGAGAGCTTGGATGCGGTTCAGTATCTTATAAGAGGCCCATCTTTCCGTCCTAATCCACTGGAGGAGTCAATAAACCCAGTGTATGCGGTTTCTACGATAATAATGATGATGGAAAATAATCCATAACACAACATGATACATCTAGAGCTTCATAATTGGAAATACAAATCCAAAATTATCAATAACACACAAATCTGTTAGAAATTCTGGTCTGGACATTTGGAATAATTTTCCTGACAACATATGCAAATGTCTATTAAGTCTTTCCTCTACATAAATAAATAAATAAATAAAGAAGGAAGGAAAATAAATCAAATAATGAATGAACAAATGAGTTAACAAATACATTAATAAATAAACAAACAAAGAAATAGATAAATTTATAAAAAGTAAATATACATTAAAATACATATGCTAGATTTTCTCAATTTCTCAACCACAAAAATTGGTGCATACATGAAGTTAGATCGTCAGAATTATTTTGCATATCTCTGACCCAGATCTATATTATATGGCAGAGAAGAATTCCATGAAGAATTTGCATAATCAAGGGAACAACCCTCGAAATTGACAAAGTCAAAGTAATTAGGTTGCGAGAGCCTTCCTGTCTGCGTCGCTCTACAAATACCACTTCGCAATTATGATTAATGGGCATTACTTGATGAAAAAAGCACTTTCGCCTCCAGAAAAAATTCCATTTCCATATATTTGCTGTATGAAAGGCTAATGCTGTTTCCATAAACTCAATTTCCCTACATTAATATGGTATGTTCTAGTAGGTTGCTTTATTGATTGGGGGGGGGGGAGCATTTTATAAAAATAGATTTTACAAACGCATTTCATAATATGCATTAGTAGTGAAATAGAAAAAGAGAATCAAAAGAAACTGTAAAGAACCAATGGCATGTTTACAACTGACAGAAGTTAATCAGTATCCTTTTAGTGCACTCATACCCAATGACTATCTACATGGACATGCATACACAGCATGTTTTTCAGATAGAGTGTAAGCTGTGCACATATCGTTAGAAGAGCACATCACCAATTTTATGTCCAAATATTCATACATATACTTTACATTCTATATTTCATTAAAGCCCCCAAGTCTATGACTCAGCCGTGTAAAATGACCAATGTACGGTGGAGGTAGTGTAGAGGAATAGGAGAAGGAATGGATCTTCTTTCCAAATATTTCTCCCAAAATGAGGTTGTCTTCTTATCAGAAGCCTACAGTTTGTCGTTTGGAAGAACCCATCAACATTTTCATGTCCAAATAATCGTACTTATACCTCACATTCTATGTGCCCGTCAAAGCCCCTATTAAGTCTATGACTCAGCTGTGTAAAATGAGCAATGTAAGGTGAAGGTAGGGTAGAGGAAGAGAAGGAATGGATCTTCTTTCCAAATCTTCCTCCCAGAATGAGGTTGTCTCCTTATCAGAAGCCTATACAGTTTATGTCATTTGGAAGCATTCATCAAAATTTTCATGTCTAAATAATCATACATATACCTTACATTCTCTATTCCACAGAGCCTCAAGATCTATGACTCAGCGGTGAAAAATTGCCAAAGGTAAGGTGAAGGTGAAGGTTAGTAGAGGAGGAAGAGAAGCAAAGGATCTCCCTTTTAAAATCTTTCTTCTAGGTGGAGATTTGTCTGGTAAATTCCAATGCTCACCTCCTTCATATAAACCTAATGTTTATGTCATTGGAAGAACCCATCAACCTTTTCATGTCCAAATAATCGTACATATACCTTGCATTCTATATGCCGTTAAAGCCCCCCCCCCCCCCCCCCCCAAGTCTATGACTCAGCCGTGTAAAGAGACCGATATAAGGTGAAGGTTGGGTGGAGGAAGAAGAGAAGAAATGGATCTTCTTTCCAAACCTTCGTCCCAGAATGAGGTTGTCTCCTTATCAGAAGCCTACACTTTATGACGTTTGGAAGAACCCATCAACATTTTCATGTCTAAATAATCATACATATACTTTACATTTTCTATTCCACAGAGCCTAGAGATCTATGACTCAGCCGTGTAAAGTGACCAAGGTAAGTTGAAAATTTGGTAGAGGAAAAGGAGAAGGAATGGATCTCCCTCCAAGTCTTTCTTCTAAATCTGTGGAGATTTATTTAGTAAATTTCAATGCTCACCTCATTCTTACATGTAGAAGCCTAATGGTTATGTCGTTTGGAAGAACCCATCAACATTTTCATGTCTAAATAATTGTACATATATCTTACATTCTATATGCCGTTAAAGCCCCCAAATCTATGACTCAGCTGTGTAATGTGACCAAGGTAAGGTGAAGGTTGGTAGAGGAGAAAGAGAAGGAACGGATCTTCTTTCCAAATCTTCCTCCCGGGCTCCCAAGCATTTTGTGATGTAAACTCTAATACTCACACCTCCTCAATAGAAGCCTACCGTACATCCCGGCTCAAATCCACAGTTTGACACCTTCAGAAATCAAACAACACACATGACCTACCTCACCTATTTTATTAGTGATGAGTTTCCAAGAGACTGCTTATGCTTTTTTTGTCAAATGAAGGGCTGGCTACATGAAGGTTACTGAGAGCTCCAGAGCCATCTAACTAAACTATTGGTAATTTATTATTTAAAAAAAAAAAAAAAAAATTGGTATAGTCGGCAAGATGTTTAAGTAGTGAAGAAATATGTTACTTTATCCAATAATCCCTGTATAGCTTTACATGCAGCATTATGCTCCTTCAATGCTTAGATTTTTCATAAAAACCTTGATCAACTTCCATTATTACTTAACAATGTTCAGTACTAGAACCTTTAAAGGGAGTGTAGCTTGGCAAATACTGGTTAACGTCATCTACGTCTTCTTTTAGACAACTGCAGATAAACAAATGGACTTGATTAACGGTAGTCAGCGACTTAATCTCTACATGGTCAGCGTTCGCGAAACAGACTGAAGTTCTCCTCACGCTTCGGTTTAGCGTTTGTTGCACACACGTGATTGCTGCGGTTGTGTCATCCATAGTCATATTATACCCGATTGGCCCAGAAACAGGCCACGGGAAAGACACGTAGTCTCGTCAGGCTACACTCCCTTTAACAATGTTCAGTACTAGAACCTTTAATATCTATATTTGCGGAAATATTCACACTTCCTACATGAATCATTTCCTATTTGGGCATGAAATAACTAGAGCCACAAGTAATTTACAGTCCATACAGGAAATACTTTCCACTTCAATTTTATTGATCTGAATTTAAAGAAATAGTCAATTAAAATACCTCTTAAAGGAAATATTTGATAATGGTTTCATATCTTTATGAAATAAATGAGGAAATGTAAACAAACGGACACCCACAATACCATGAACAAGCTAGTTGGCTCTGACTTTATGCTTTGCTGCATGATGAATATAATCAGCCTACACACATATTATATTACAAATTTACAAGAAGATGATTTACGTCATTTATGGTTTGGACAATTTTGCAGAAAGGTTTTTGCCACTAGAATTGAGATAATACAAGAACTATACACATGTGGCCTTATTATAGAGATGGCCACTATCCATCCCTTTTTCAAAACTTTGCCAAACTTTGTCAAAACTTTGCATTACCTTTAAGCAAAATTTTTGATTGATCATACATGTATGCAAAATCTACCTTGCCTTGGGGCCAAAGGAACATAAAATGTTTCAATGATGCTAATCACTGAATGTTTTCCCTCAGCAGTACTCACCCATCTCTTTCATCATCATCAACTCTTTTAGGGTAGACAGTTCAGTCTATTAAAGCAGGGGGAAATCCCCTTTCCCCTTTTGATTTTGATTTATCTGTATTTGTGAACCCTATATTCCCCCTCCCTATTCTACATGATCTATAATTCCCTTGTGTATTCCTTCTTCCTCTTTAATACACTTTTCCTATTTCTCTCTTCTCTATCACTTTTTCTCTCTCCCTTCATCTCTTCCTCATTCTATTTTTTTTCTCTCTCTCTCTCTCTCTCTCTCTCTCTCTCTCTCTCTCTCTTCCATCTCTCCCTCTCTCTTTCTTCTCTGTTCAAAACACTTGTTATTTTGAGCCATAAGTAAAATCTATCTTGCACATCATTATTTTTTTTTTATTGATACAAATCATAATCTATTTCTCTCTCTATCCTTCACTCCCTGCCACATACACAAATGTTATACTTCTTCTCTCCTCCCCTCTCAATTCTCTCTTTACAAAGAGCACGCTCTCCATAAAAGGCGAGGTGTTTATACAGCCTTTCTGCGATGGATACTGATCTTTTATAATGATTTGTGTGCCCTCTTTAAAACCCGCAGCATTGGTCCCATTAGAGATAAGAGAAATTGGTACTGCCTCGAACCTGCCTCAATCATACTGTAATGATAGATGCGCAACAAAGCCTCTCTGATCGAAGCCCCTCAGGATAATTACTGATTAGTTATTGATGTTGGTACAGTGACATTTTGAGCTCAAATGCCAGAGCTTGAAGACATATCGAAGGCTTCTAATGTACCTCTCCACAAGTCGATAATGTTATTAATAAACCCCATTTTTATCTCTTTTATTTTATCTACAAGATAAGTCCTCAAGTAATTTTATCTCTACACGTTCAAATTCCAATTAGGACAAAGACTATTCCATACTACCTTATGTTTTGGTGCCACTTATGGAGAGAAATGCTATTTCCAACTAAAATTGAATAAATGTGTGAAGAGATGTAGATGGGGGGGGGGGGGTAAGGACTTAACCCTAAACTGAGGCAGGGCCCTGTTTTATAAAACTTGGTATCAATAACAAATGCTAAATTTCTATGACAGATTTGCTCTCAGCCAATCAAATGCCACCATTTCAGTAGCTTTAATGTAACAGTTATTGTAACTTGTTATTGATAACAAGTTTTATGAACAAGGGCCCTGGGTGGGTTTACAGTACATTGTAAATCAGATTTCCACAGAATCTAAACACTGTAGACTACTTATCAAGCAGTAGAGTTTCAATTTCAATTTTTGGAGTTCTTGGCGAGCAACTTAAAGCCCCTCTGCACTAGTTTGGCATGGACAGATTAGACCTCCCTGCAAGGTCAATGGCAGGTGGTTATCTCAAATCAGCTCTCAATTAACATAAGAAAAAGGGGATCATGGGGGATCAACGGGTACCGCTTCGGCATTGTCGGCTGTATAGAGGGCGCAAGTAGCTATAAGTAGTGCAGTGGGGCTTTAAGATGGCTAAAAGTGCAACTTTCCTTGTGATGGATAACACTCACCTGGAGACGGTTAGATTTTGTTTCTCGTTATACGTGTAGCCTCCGACGACCCAGAGGTCATCCCCAATCAGTATGGTGCTGGCCGCGCCCCGCCCTTCACCGATAGCGCCCTCTTTTATCTCCCATATGCCATCCTCTGCCAGCGTCCCACAGTCACGTCCTGCGGAAAGAAAGAAAAACAATGCATGAGTTTGACCATGAGATAAGTCTGAATGTCAAACTCTTTGAGTGCAATCTGGGCAAATTTGTAAGACAGGAGAGCTTTTGAATTCTGAGGAGAATCAGAATTTGTGATCTGACATTTGTTCCTGATTGTAATTCACCGAAGGCTGAAAATCCTCCAAAATCAGGCTTTCGTTTTAAGGGAAATTATAATGTTAGAAGGGTTTAGTTAGTGTTTGATATTGACACTGGGGTGACTTTCACTGGAGCATGCTGTGACAGACATTAAAAATGCAATTTCTTTTGTTTTTGTTTTTCTTTTTTCCATAATTTGGGTCTTTAGATGTTCTACCTGTACATGCAATAACTTTAATAATAAGCAGATTTCTTTTTTCAAGGAGTACATGTACATCAAGGATCTATAGATCACATCTGAGTATGAAGATAAAATATGTTACAAAAAATGTTATGAGAGGAATTCCTGGTTGCCTCACATCTCAACACTTAACACAAAATAAACAAGAACATTACGACTGAACTAAATCATCAACCATCTGATAGTTTTTGCACAGTACTTTAGTGTGCTAACTCTCAAGGGTACAAAAGATACATTTTCAAACATCAGAGAAGCAACCATAATTCAATATTCTACACATGATTTATTTTGTTTCTACAGAAAAAAGAGAGACAATTGTTCTTGATACTAGCAGAACAAATAAAATTGTAAAATCTTCATAAATACCAACTGCTTTACCAAATCCACTTTCATCTCATCCTAATTTCCCATCCACAAATGGCTTTATGATATGAAATCAAGATTCAGGGTGCCTCATTTGATGAGAGAGGAGGGAATTGTCAAAACACTTGCAATCATAAACAACAAGCTCATTACTGCTTATCAGAAGCAAAGAGGCCCCTCTCAAGGCATGCATGATACATGTAAATATTTATAGCAGAAACTGTTTTGTAATAGGGCATTTCACACACAAGGTATGTCTTCATCAGCTCGAGATTGCAAAATAGCCTGCTATTTCTGATTTGGGAAATAAGCCTGAAGTTACAAATCGCATCTTCATCAGCTCAAGACTCAAAACTCGAGCTCAAGAAATTAGCTCGAGATATTTTGCTCAGCGTTCGCGCATAGTGCGAGTCTTCGGGCTGGTGAAAACGCACCAGACGAATAGTGGGATATTTTGCAAATTTAAAGGTAAAGACCAGTATTGGAAACGCCTCAATTTCAAAAAATGAAATGGAAGCTCTTATTACCCATCATGTGAAAGAATAATGTTTTGAATAATACATGATGATAAAAATGTTGACGGGAAACCGCCTACTAATTGATATATTTGGTAAATTAGTGTATCTCTCGCCTGTTGAGAGATACAAATGCAAGTGTCGCGCACGTGTGTGTAGTCCCATATACATCTTTCTGTGTACAGTGATTCTAACTTTATGAAGACTTGGCCAAATTTCTTATCATTTTGATGATTCCAGAACCATGCAGTACATTTATGCTAGATGATCAACCTTTTCTGATCGATTTCACAATGTTTCTTTCACAATGCAATCGCATGACCATACATGGTCTTTAGCTTTAATAGCCCAAGATATCTTGGGATGATTATCTCGACCAAATATCTCGCTATTTGCAACTGCTGGCTAATAGTTAAAATAGCGGGTGATTTGGCAATCTCGAGCTGATGAAGACAGTCCTTCATAGATCAATTCATCTGTTGAGAGCCAGAAGGGTGTTTACCCAAACACTTTAACATTAGGGGAATACCCTTCTGGCTCTGAACAGATGAATTGATGAGATTCTGATCACGATTCCAATCTTTGTAAATTTTGACCTTTTATGAGAATAACCAAGATTGTTTGGTGTGTATCTCTTTGTTGCAATGGAAGTCAGAGGAGTGCACTCCGTTACAACCAAAGTAAACAGAAGTGAGATCTTATAAATCCTGCTTGTAAAATGGACTAAATTTTCTCAAAGAAATTATCAAATTTGAATTGTGATTCAATGCCATGGTTTTTTAAAACTCAAGTCAGATTACATAGTAAGGTGATTTTTTTTTTAATGCAACAATTGTTTAATGTTGAAAGAAGTTAAACGGTTCAAAATGTATCATAGCCTGTTGAGTAGAAAGCCCGAGATAACTCAATAGAAAACCATACGTGTAATAAATACAAAATACCAAACCTTTCCAATGACCTAGGATACAATGTGTAATTTTAATTATAATTAGTATTATTGCTATATGGTTTAATGCATGATGTTGAGTGTCTATGGGTGCTACATTTATACAATATAGCTATTTATGCTTGAGCGCTGGTTACTTTGGCAGCTCGGCTATATCTAACCAGGGTAATATGTGTAAAGCGCCATGACCGTCAGAGCCTGGCGGATACCGGCGCTATATAAATATCCATATTATTATTATTTATTCCTTGTTTATCACAGGCCATTGAATGAAAAGAGCAATTCATCCGTTGTGCATTAGCTCATATACTTTTACATTTAAAGGGAGTATCGCTTGGCAAATACTGGTTAACGCCATCTACGTCTTCTTTTGGACAACTGCACGTAAATGAATGGACTTAATCTCTACATGGTCGTGAAACAGACCAAAGTACAACGCTTCGGTTTTGCATATGTTGCACGCACACGATTGCTGCAGTCGCGTTGTACATAGTCATATTATACCCAATTGGCCCAAGTCAGGCGACGGGAAAGACACACAGTCTCGTCAGGCTACACTCCCGTTAACAAAAATGAATTGTCTTTCTGATTGTTTTCTTTATGGTGCCAGAGCACTGGATGCAATATTGGATCATATAAACTCATACAATGCTTCATCGCCATCTATATACATAATCATAATAATAAACATGGTGCTGGACGAATTACTTTTCAGCTGATAAAAACAAATATCCAACTCTTCTTCGACCCGTCTAATATTATCCTTGCCGCTGGCGTATCTGCGCTTCCCTTGCATCATCCTCAAGGCAATTCATTATTATAGAAATATTTCTTCCCAGGCACAATCGCAGAAGACGACTTGATAATACAGAATTTAATTGCACAAAGAGATTCTTCCGTCTTATCGCATTTCCCCTGAGAAATCTCTGTGATATGATTGAAGGTTGAAAGAAAATATGGTCTGCTGAGAGAGCCAGAAGGGAGTTATTGGATACTCATTTCTTCGTACACAGATTCAATGACCACCTGTCTCGAAGCTGACGAAATACAGTGAATCGCAAACGATCAAATCATATCATTTTATACATAGGAAACTTTAAAAAACATTGTCTTGAAAGAGTAGAGGTCTTTTCTTGCTATAGTCCTTCAGAAATATTTTTTTCTTCTTCTTTGTTTGGTATTATAATGGCTATTAGTCAAATTTGACTATTGTTGCCAATTTCATCGCATCTCTTTCTTTTAATGTCTTGGTTTTTTCCAATCTCATTTTAATATAAAATTAGTCATAGTCTACACAGTGTTATTTGTATGGTGTCTTCAAAATAACCACAGATCTCAAATACCTGAAGAGATAATGCAATGAAGCCAAAAAATGTACCCCTCATTAGTAATTGATATTGATCAATGCCTGTTTAGATTCGTGCGTCACGCTGCTCCCTTTCCAACACCAACTGTCAAACTTTGGATAACAATTTGACAAAGCTGATGACTAAGGGCGCGTTCATGCTTGATTTTGACGGCCAGAATCAGGCATCTGTTACGCGTTTAGTTTAAAACATGATTGCGTTCATGCTCACTTTTGTAGAATCACCGAAAAGTAAACTCACAAAAAGATGCGTTTACAATTTGTAAACGCGTTGAAATGGGGTCAACGCACTGACCTCTAGTGGGTCTACGTAGCATGCGCACACAGGTTTGCGAACCCAGCTGAAGGCCACCCAAGGAGAATTGCCTGGAGAAGTGAGCATGAACAGTGCACCGTGGAACTGCGATTACGATGAGCGTTTACGATGGGCGTTACAAATCGCTCATTCTGCCTTCAAAATCAAGCATGAACGCGCCCTAAGTAAACCGACTTTTTCACCCTCCCCCTCTCCTGCAGCTAGAGGCCCCCAGACATCATCTGAGCATGTAGCAATGAATAATTAGGCATGGAAACTGACAAAAATGGGGTGAGATTCTGTCACCGGTTAACTAGGGGAAGGGTATATGTCGCTGTGTGTTGGATGAGTCAGATGTATGTTCAGAAAGGCAGGATTAATGCACCGGGACTGTGATTCATTCTTTCTCACTTCTACTATGCATGGAACCTACGTTTCTCAATGGAATGTAGAATTAAACATGTACTGTGGATATGAGTACTCCATGGCTTTGTATTGGGAGGTTGGTTGAGAAAATGAATGACACTCCAATTAATGCTAATATTAAGGCTACAATTAATGCTAATATTGGATGAATATCCCTTTCACTTAATCCATATTGTAGGGATCATCCTATTAACAGCTAGCCCAGCAAAAAATGTATCTCGTGACATTTTAATTGGCCTTCGCTTTGCTGCATGTACAGTCAGTGGTGTAGCTTCTAAGGGGCACAAGGGCATATCCCCCATATAATGATAAAAAGGAAAAAGGGGAAAATAAGAGAAAATGAAAGGGAGAAGAAAAGGGCAAGAAAAGAAGGTAATATAATCCTTCCCACATCTTCCCTAATCAGTGGTTTTGGGAAATTCATATTTCATTCTCTGAGCAAGATCAGTGCAACCCCCCCCCCCCCCATACTCATGATGCTAGTGCCCCTTACATTGCTAGACTCGTGCTAAGCCACTGTGCACAATACTGTACATGCATTTAAAAAGCCTACTGAAAATACAAAGGGACAGGAGTCTGTTTTTATCTTTGAAATTATAATACCCAAATATTACTGCAATTCAATAAGACTCAATGTTTTTACAATGAGCCTTAGGCGCACGCACGCTGCCTTCCCTTATCTCGCGTTACCATATACATGTTTGGTATGAG